ACCAAGTGTGTTTTTCTTGGTATTCTCGCACTCAGAAGGGCTATCGTTGTTATAGTCCTCATTTTCAAAGCTATTTCAATAGTGTTGATGTCACATTTTCTGAGTCTCTCCCTTATTTTTCTGATTCTACCACTCCTCTCGATATTACTTTTGAGCCACCTATGCCAATGGTTCCCTCTCTGTTTCCTGCTTCCGCACCTCCTCGCTCTGTTGTCCCATTGCAGGTTTATACTCGACGACCTCGACCACCTACTTCGCTCCCTCCATCTCCTTCAGAGTCTTCGGATCCGACGCCTTTACCTGATGATTTGCCTATTGCTCTCCGTAAAGGTATTCGGTTGTGTGTTACTGCACATCCCATTTCTAACTTTGTCTCGTACGTTAGATTTCATCCTCTTTATCTTGTTTTTTATCCAGTGTCTGCTATTTTTGTTCCCAAGACTTTGCAGGATGCTCTCTCTGATTCGGGTTGGGGATAGGCCATGGTAGATGAAATGGATGCCCTTCATCGTAATCGAACATGAGATCTTGTTCCCTTACATCCGAGCTCCAAAACGGTTGGTTGTAAGTGGGTCTATACAGTTAAATACCTTCACGATGGGTCTATTGAGCGGTTAAAGGCTTGTTTAGTGGCAAAGGGTTACAATCAGACTTATGGTGTTGATTATGATAAGACTTTTTCCCCTGTTGCTAAGATTTATTCTATTCGGGTACTTATTTCCATTGCTGCCAATTGTAACTAGCCGTTGTTTCAATTAGATGTCAAAAATGCCTTCTTACATGGTGACTTGGTTGAAGAAGTTTATATGGAGCAACCAACTGGGTTTGTTGCTCAGGGGAAGTATCGTCACACTGTTTGTCGCCTTAAAAAGGCCCTGTATGGATTGAAACAATCTCCACGGGCTTGGTTTGGAAAATTCTTTGAGGCGGCATTAGAATTTGGCCTTAACAGAAGCCAGACCGATCATTCGATATTTCACCTGCGCACTAAAGCTGGCTTCATTTTTCTTGTGGTGTATGTAGATGATATTGTGATCACAGGTGATGATTCTGAAGGCATTGCTAAGTTGAAGTTGTTTCTACAAAATCGATTCCACACTAAAGACTTGGGTAAACTTAGGTACTTCTTGGGTATTGAAGTTGCTAGATCCAAGAAGGGTATAAGTTTATCTCAATGTAAATATGTGTTGGGCTTGCTAGAAGACACAGGTATGTTAGGTGGTCGTCCAGTTGATGCTCCTATGGATTCAAATACAAAACTTGTGTCTGATGAGGGTGATCTATTTAATGACCCGGGCAGATTTCGTAGCCTTGTTGAGAAATTAATTTATCTCACTATCACTCGACCTGATATTTCATATGCAGTTAGTGTTGTAAGTCAGTTCATGGGAGCTCCTAGAATGCCACATTGGATTGCTGTTCTTCGGATTATCCGATATCTCAAGCAAGCTCCAAGTTTTGGGTTACTATATAAATCAAATGGTCATCTCAGGGTGGAAGGTTTTACAGATGCTGACTGGACTGGTTCTCCTTCAGATAGGAGATCTACTACAGGCTACTGCATATTTGTAGGAGGAAATCTTGTTACATGGAAAAGTAAAAAGCAAACGGTGGTAGCTCGATCTAGTGCTGAAGCTGAGTACAGGGCAATGGCCCGTACCACTAGTGAGTTAACATGGATACAACATTTTCTAAAAGAACTTGGTTTAACAGTTGAAGCTCCTACTCCATTGTTTTGTGATAATCAAGCAGCTGTTCACATTGCATTGAATCCTGTGTTTCATGAGAGGACTAAACATATTGAGGTTGATTGTCACTTTATTCGGGAAAGAATATTAAGTGGGAGCATTTCTACTCCATTTGTGGAGTCTAAAGATCAACTAGCTGATATGTTTACCAAAGCACTGGGTCATAACCGGTTAAGGACTATCTGTTCCAAGCTGGGATTATTTGATATATATTCTCCAGCTTGAGGGGGAGTGTTAGAATGTTTATGTATATATATATTTATGTTGGGTCATTATGTAATTACCAATAGTTGTTAGGATCATTGTGTAATTAGGTAACCTTGTATAATTAGGTTATTTGTTTTCCTTTATATAAGCCACGGTAGGCTTAAGGGTTAAGTGTGATATATACAAGATACATACAGAATTTCTCTCTCTCTCTCTCTCTCATGAATTCGAACATCTCTCAACCTAGAAGAGGCTTGAAACAAGGATGTAATAACCCTCACCTAAGCCAGACACAATATTGTCCACTTTTGGCTCCCCCGTACCAAAGACTTCCTAGGGGTTCACCCATCCTGGTACTACTCTAGGTTGATCATGCTTAACTCTGGAGTTCTAGTGGGTTCACGATCATCACAACTTTAAAACGCGCTGTCATAGAAGGGTGTTGAATTTACATATAGCACTTACCCCATCCACACCCAGGCGATGTGGGATTGTGCACCTGTAGCTCGCCCAGTGTGGTAGCCTACTGGTGCCACTTGCACATGCTCACACACACCCGCCCACAGTGCCACCTGCACACGCTTACACACACCCGCCCACAAGGTCACCACAATCACCCCCACTTTGTGGCCAACGTCCTTGTTGGCCATACTTCTGGCTAGGTCAGACTCTGATACCATTTGTAACAACTTTCACCCTAGCCAGATACAATATTGTCTGCTTTTGGCTCTCCCAAACCAAAGACTTCCCAGGGGTCACCCATCCTGGTACTACTCCAGGTTAAGCACGCTTTACTCCGGAGTCTAGGTGGGTTCACAGTCATCACAGTGCCACCTGCACACGGTCACACACACCCGCCCACAAGGTCACCATAATCACCCCCCTTGGGGCCCAACGTCCTCGTTGGCCACACTTCCAGTTGGGTCGGGCTTTAATACCATTTGTAACGACCCTCACCCTAGCCAGACACAATATTGTCCGCTTTTGGCTCCCTCAAACCAGAGACTTCCCAAGGGGTCACCCATCCTGGTACCACTCCAGGTGAAGCACACTTAACTCCGGAGTTTAGGTGGGTTCACGGTCATCACGGCTTTAAAACGTGTTGGGTCATAGAAGGGTGTTGAATTTACATATAGCACTTGCCCCATCCACACCCAGGTAATGTGGGATTGTGCACCTGTAGCTCCCCCAGTGTGGTAGCCTGTTGGTGCCACCTGCACACGCCCACACACACCCACCCACAAGGTCACCACAAAGGATGTCCTCTGTCTCCTTTAATCTTTACCCCTGTCACTGAATTTTTCTCTACTTTAATGAAATCTAAAGTGAGAGAGGGTGCCGTTAAGATTTCTAAAATTGCTGCTTCTTTGGGCATAAATGTTTCTCATCTATTTTTTGCAGATGATCTTTTTTAGTACTCAATGCAGATTATAGAACAGGAGTAAGTCTTTCTCAGGTTCTCAACTACTTGACTTCCTTGTCTGGACTTTCCATTAACGAAGAGAAGAGTTTTCTTTTCTTCTAAAAGTTAGTGTCAAGTATGAGAAGGATCTTTTTCATTGCAGAACAGGTTCATTTCCAGTTTCTTACCTGGGTCTTCCTTGGACGTGCAATGGATTGAAGAGGAATTATTGTTTTGCTTTGGTGGACGAATTCTACTCTAAGCTTTCTGCATGGGAATGCCTAAACCTCTCAAGGGCTGGTAGATTGGAAATATGGAAGTTGGGTACTTCCTTTGCTTACCGATGGAAATCAGTTTTCAAGTTGTCATCTAAAGTTATTAGCATATTGGAAAAGAAGATGAAAAATTTCTCTGGTGTCCTAGTGATTCTAATAAGAAGATCCATGGGGTCCTATTAGAAGATGATTCTAATAGGAAAATTGTTTGCTCACCTAAATCTGAGGGTGGCTTGTGAATGAGGAGATTGATTAACATCAATAAGGCCTCAATTTGTAGACTTGTTTGACATTTTACAGAGTCAAAAGACTGCTTGAGGATTGCTTGGTTTGGAAGAAGGTATACTAGGCACACAAACAATTGGAACTGCTCTTTACCTCTCAGTCCATAGTGTGGAAGAATATGCTTGAAGTGAGGGAGTTTATGAAGCAGCACATTCATTTCAAGGTGGGTAATGGCAATACCACTAGACTATTTACAGATCCTTGGTGCTTTGGCTATACTTTATTGGGAGAAGGTTGGTCACAGGCTATACAGAGACCTCAATCTTCAAAAAATGCACTGGTTGCGGCTATCATCAACAATGGTTTCCGGTCTGTTCCTTCTTCTGCAGTACAAGTTCAGCAACTCAGGAATTTCCTCTTATCTGTTCAGCTGCAATCTTCAACTGATGATGTGGTTTGTAAGTCTGGCTCATCCACTTTTAAGAGTGTATGGAATGGTATTAGAGTGCAGCATACTAATGTTTTTTTGGCACAGCCTTTGTTGGAATGGTTATAGACCAAGAGTCTCAACCACTTGTTGCCTTACTTTTCAAAATAAAATCCTCACCCACTAATCTTCAGAAGAAAAGTATTTGCTTGGTTCCTTTCTGCCACAATTGCAGGATGCCTATCAGTGATTCTCTGTTGCAACTTTCTCAATGGTTCTTCTCTAAATACTCCAATGCTTTGCGGATAGTGTGAGCAAAAGACTGTTTTCAACAACCCTATTCCATGTTTGGACTGAGAAGAATCTCATAATGCATGAGGATACCTTCAGATCTTTCTCTTCTCTAGCTCAGATCATTTGGTGGGAGGTGCTGGATATCTCTTGCTCGAATCCTCAGGATGCTCTTGCCTTGTTTAATGCCTAAGTTGCCACTACAAGCTTCTTATTGTTATTGTCTTAGTTCCTTTATAATCTACTGTCATGTTTGTCTCTTCATGTATTTTTTGGCTGCAGATGTGATATTTTCTTGTTCTCGTTTGAACTCTTGTAATGCAAAGGAATGCTTTTTCTTATAGCCTTGCACATTATTGTTGATATCTGTAAAAAAAATCCACTTGCCCAGGAAAAAAGTAAATTAAAAAAAATGCTCCTCAAACCTGTAAACTGGGTCAAGAACAACACCAGTGGCCTCAGCAACTTCCTTGACAAATTGAAGCTCCTCCATTGTATTTATTGCATAGCCCAGCCCTTTGGCCTGTAGATAGACAAGAAAATTGATACTTGTCACGTAATCTATCAAAATGTCAATAGCATGACTAAGTCCATATACATGGGATTGGCACTAGCAAGCAAAGAAAAAGAATAAAGACTAATTTTGAGAACAAAAAAGAAAATCATACTACTTCAATAAATTATCATCTGTAAATAGCTTGGTAATCCATTAACAAGAAAATACTAGCCAAAAGTCATTTGGGATGACATATTATCATAAGACAACAATAGGTGTAAAGATAAGACTGCCAAAAAGATGAGGATGTTATAAATTAGTTGGTAAGTGTAGTCATTGAAATGACGGAACGTGTTCAAGATCATCTTACTACATCAGAAAGTCAAATATCATCAACTAGAGTTCAAAAATATCTTCATTTTTACTTTTTGTGATGAAACTGGTATTATTATCATATAACTAAAACTAAACCTAAATATTAGAAAAGTTAAAAAAAAAAAAGGGTTGGATAAATTCTTTGGAAGACACCTTAATCAATTCACGAGGAATGATGTTTGGGAACTTGTCTCTCAACCTACAGATACTAATGTCATAGGTACCAAATATATATATATACATAAATATATTTTAGAATTAATTGGATGATTCATCACTAGAAATAACGTGAGGTTGTTTGCTCAAGGCTATTTCAAATTAAAGGGTTTTGACTTCGATGAAACATTTGCGATTAGGATTTTCCTTGGTATTGCTTGCCATTGAAAAATCTAAGTTGTAGCAAGTAAATGTTAAGTGATTATTTCTAATTAATCTGATTTTAGAGGAAGTATATGAGAAACAATCAAAGGGATTTGTCGATCCACATGGCCCGAATCATATTTTTCGTCATACTAGGGCTCTCCATATGAAAAGCATTTTTGGGATAAGCCAGGTTGATAAACAGAATTTCTATGTATGTTCCTGATATCTATGGGTGGATCACCTTGATGCCACACAATGATATGGGTTCTATCAGTTTAGCTCAGGGGTGAGTCTAACTAAAGAGGTCCCAACTGAGATTGTAGATAGTCTCAATCAGAATGCAATGGGTAGGACCTTGAAGGCTATGTCTGCACCTGTATACACTAAGCCTGAGCTAGAAATACCATTGTCTGAGAGGTCTGCTCTTGCAACACAACAATGGAACAAACCCAATCCCCCAAAAGGAGAAAAGCAGAATGACAAAAGCAAGTTGAGATGTGATCACTGTGGGCGTACGCGCCACACTAGGGAAACATGCTGGAATCTACACGGTCACCCTACTCCAGCTCCTGCTCATGTGAATGCTAGGCCAAGGCCTGGTCCATTTAGGAGATTATCTACGACACATACTGCAAAGCGTGAGAATGCTTCTACTGGTCATGCCTCCTCAGGGTCACCGAGTTCTTTGTCCAGGGCTGAACTTGATGCTCTTTGACATCTACTAGCTCAAAATGCCTCAATTTCCACCTCTAACTTCGCAGAGACAGGTACCTTTCATTCGGCACTTTAGGTTTCCACATTATCTAGTGGGTCACCCTGGATTATTGATTCAGGAGCCACTGATCACACGACTGGTATGGCATTTGATTTTTCTTCGTATAGTTTATGTTTTGGTAAGTATAAGGTTAGAGTGGATGATGGCACCTTCACCTCCATTACGGGGAAGGGCATTGTTTCTGCATCTCCTAATCTTACCTTATCCTTTGTTCTTCATGTCCCAAAGTTTACCAATAACCTCCTTTCTGTCAGTCACATTACAAAAGGCTTGAATTGTAGTGTAACCTTTTTCCATCTCACAATGTGTTTCAGGACTTGGACACGGGGAAGATGATTAGAAGTGGACGTGAGGACAATGGCCTGTATTTGCTGAACGTGAGGCTAACTTCTTATTATGCTGCAAATCAATCTAGTGTTAGGAATAGTAATGTCAATAAATATCTGTTAATGCGATGGCATAATAGACTAGCTCATTTACCTCATCCTGTTTTGAAGCACATGCTTCCCCTGCTTGCTTCTGTTGAATCTTTTGAGTTAAATTATGAAACATGTGTTCTTGCCAAACAATGTTGTGTCTTTTTTTTTTTTTTTTTTATAAGTAAACAATGTCATGTTTCTTATCCTACTAGTATTAATAAAAGTACAGCTCATTTGCAACTTGTTCATTATGATGTGTGGGGTCCTGAATCAACTACTTCGTTACTTGGTTTTTGTTACTTTGTTGTGTTTGTTGATGACTTTAGTCGATATACTTGGTTTTATCTTATGAAAACCAAAGATGAATTTCTTTCCATTTTTAAAACCTTTCATAAGATGATATGTACTTAGTTTGGTTGTCTTCTCAAAATCCTTCGATTTGATAATGGAGGAGAGTTTATGTATGGGGCCTTGCCTCCTTTTTTGCTAATAACGGGATTGTCCATCAAAACTCCTGTGTCGATACACCACAACAGAACGGTGTAACTGAAAGAAAACACCGTCATATTACGAAGGTGATCCGTTCTCTTCTAATTGGGATGGGAGTGCCTAAAAGTTATTGGGTTGATTCAACCTTAACAACTACATACCTTATCAATTGCATGCCTTCTAAGGTTCTTGGCTATCAATCCCCCTTCTCTGTCTTACACCATCACATTGCCTTGTTTACTGTCCCTCCAAAAGTGTTTGGTTGTGTTTCTTTTGTTCACATTCATCATCGCAAGGAAAAATGGACCTTTCTTGGATACTTCGACACTCAAAAATGGTATCGGTGTTATAACCCTACCACTCGTCGTCGATTTGTCTCTATGGATGTTACATTCTTCGAGTTTGTTCCTTTTTTTCCCACTACTCGGGATTCTGACTACTATATAGGTAGAGAAGTCGTCATCCATTCAGAGAGAATGCCCCCTTCTTTGCCTGTTCCCATTCAAGGGGAGCTTCTTATTGAGGTGTCTATGTTTAGGCCTCCTAACACTAATGATTTGCAGCAGGGAAAGCAGCTAATTGTCTAGTCTAGGAGGGAAAAACAAGTCATTGACTCACCCCAGGACCAAGAAGTCATGCTGAGGAATTACCTCGATCCAGGTAATTCCTCAGTTGACATTGATACTCCTTATTCTTTTCCCAATAGCAGTCATGCTGATCATGATGTCCCTATTGCCTATCGTAAGGGTGTTCGTAGTTGTATAACACATCTCATATCTCAGTTTGTATCCTATGATGCCTTATCTCCAACATATTGTGCTTTTACTTCATTTATCTCCTATGTATCTGTTCCTTCTAGTGCTTCAGATGCTCTCAGTCAAACTCCATGGAAGGAAGCCATGCTTGAAGAGATGAAGGCCCTTGAGAAGAATGGTACTTGGGATATTGTTCCATTACCCAGGGGTAAGAAACCAGTAGGCTGCAAATGGGTCTACACAATAAAGTACCATGCAGACGGAACGATTGAGAGATATAAAGCCTGGTTAGTAGCAAAGGGCTTCATTCAAACCTATGGGATTGATTATATGGAAACATTTGCTTCAGTTGCCAAGATGAACTCTATACGTGTCATTTCTTTGGCAGCTAATTTGAATTGGCCTTTATATCAGCTGGATGTAAAGAATGCTTTCCTTCATGGTGACTTGGAGGAAGAGGTGAATATGACTATGCCATCAGGGTTTAAGCTTGCCAATGGTTAGAATTTAGTGTGCAAGCTAAATAAAGCCTTGTATAGGTTAAAAAAGTAGCCACGTGCTTGGTTTGAGAGGTTCAACACTGCTATGAAAAGAGTGGGGTAAACACAGAGTCAGGCATATCATACTCTCTTCATCAAGAAGCACCAGGGCTGCACCACTGCCCTTATTGTATATGTTGGTGATATTGTTATCACTGGAAATGATCCAGAAGAGATTCATCGAATGAAGTCATTCTTGGGAACAGAGTTCGAGATTAAAGACCTCGGATTATTGGGATACTTTCTTGGCATTGAGGTGTGCAGATCGAAGGGGTGTTCATTTCTCGACGGAAGTATGTGCTAGATTTGTTTGCTGAAACATGCAGGCTTTGAGCTAGACCTATTGATATTCCCATTGAGCAAAACCACAAGCTTAATGATGTAGATGGAGACCCATTGGATGATGTGGGAAGATTTCAGGGATTGGTTGGGAGACTAATTTACCTATATCTTACGTGCCCGGATATTGCCTACGCTGTTAGTGTGATTAATCAATTTATGTATGCTCCATGTACACCTCACCTTGAGGCAGCTCATTATGTTCTTCGCTAACTAAAAGGTTCACTTGGTAAAGGGATATTGTTAAGCTGTTATGGCCACTTGCGTGTTGAAGCATATACTGATGTTGACTAGGTAGGGTATGTGACAGATCGACGATCTGCTTCAGGATATTGCACATTTGTTGGAGGTAATCTTGTTTCATGGCAAAGCAAGAAACAATTTGTAATAGCTAGATCTAGTTCAGAGGCTGAGTTCAGATCCATGGCACATGGAGTTTGTGAGTTGTTATGGCTACGAACTATGTTGGGTAAGTTGGGTTATCCTGTTCGCGAGTCAATGATGTATTGTGACAACAAGGCTGCTTTTAGCATTGCCCACAATCCAGTTCAACATGATAGGACAAAGCATATTGAAGTCGATCGACACTTCATTAAGAAAAAGCTTCATATTGGGCTGATTTGTACTCCATACGTTAACACACATGCTCAGATTGCTGATGTTTTGACCAAGGGCGTGAGCAAGACTTGCTTGCAAAATATGTTAGTCAAGCTGGGTATGATAGCTATCTTTGCGCCAGCTTGAGGGGGAGTGTTGTCAGCGGCTTATTTCTGAAACTTGTTAGTTTAATTAGAATGTGGGGGCAAAGATGAAAGAATTCTTTCATTCTTTTTCTCATTCCCCATCTCTCTATCTTTTTCTCTCATCCTTTTTCTTCTCTTTTTCTTCTTCTTCTCATACTTCACTCTTGATTTGATTATCTCTTAAAAGTCAACAGATTCTTTGTTGTATAGGAGAATGATAGGTAACCTTATTGATCTAGTCATGTGTGCAAAACTTTAAGCCAAACCTAAAATGTTCCATTTGAAAGTTGTTTAGCCATTATTTGTTATGTGAATGGAAACCTCGGTTATAGTTTGCAATATTCTGTTGAATCTAATACTGAGCTTACTAGTGACACTGAAGCATATTAATCAATCCAGAGGAGGTTGTTATATAGGTACTAATCTTGCTTCACCGTACACCAAATAAAACATAATTACATTCCTAATCTACAATTGAGGAGTACATACCAGTATTAAGTTGCTTTACATAATTTTGGATGAAACAAATGCTTTTATGTATTTAACAAGGTACTATATGTGTCATTGTATAGTCATAGTGGTTTTAAGAATGTATTAAAGAATCTAATATTGCATTTAACAAGAAAACAAATATACAATTGACATTATCTTTTTGCAAGCTTATTGAACAAAATGCCAGATCTTTGTAAAAAGGATCTACTGACTTGCATTCCTACAGGACTTTAAGATTCCACAAGGTTCAAATACCTTAGGAAGTTTATTGGTGTTTATTATTTTGACTAACCTATAGTATACATTCCTGATCTAGGATTTTACTTCATGATTATATGTTGTTCCAAGATTGCAATTCTTCACTTCTAGCTTTAAGAATTTGTTTTGATTCTTTTTATTTTTGTGTTAAGTCATACGATTGATGTTCACTAAAGGATCAAACATTCAAATCACTCTAAAATTGATGAACCTAGACATTTTGAAAATATAACATACATATGATTAGGACTAGATCATCAATATAGTTTTTACGTTTTACAATGATTGGGACTAAATCATCGATACAATTTTTAGTTTTTACAATGATTTGGAATGAGTCTCGTAGACTGATTCATAGAATTTCATTGACGATTACATTTGAACAAACTAATTATCTCTAACTTAGTTAAGATTGAAAGTATTAGTGTTGACCAAATACTATTTTAAGAAATTAATGAACATAAACACAGCAAAATGCCAAAGTTAGTTACAGAATGAATTAAAAATACTTGCACAAAAAATAAAATTAAAAAAATAACTACTATTATAGTTTAGTATATCAATGAAATAATTTACAATCTCCACGTGGATACTGGCAACGCATCCTTCCCCTTCACGCCTTGGATAACCAATGTTGAACTAACAAAGCCTACATCCTAACCCGCCATAGGTTGAAATCGGTTCTCCCGTTAAACTTCTCGATTTAGACGCCATCCTTGCTTCAAACCGAAAGCTCTGATATCAATTTGTTACAACAAACACAGCGAACCCAAGAACAAATCAAGAAACACAACACAAAAGTAATCACACCACACACAAAGATTTAGCGTGGTTCGGCAAAGCCTACATCCACGGTGGAGATCCGGCAAAAGTTTTCACTATGTGAAAAATAGGATATTACAAGTTTCAGCCCCCAGACCCTAGCTCTTAGTCTCACTCTCTTTCTCTGCGATTTTCAGTGTCTCAATTCTTCCACTCCAAACCCAAGCACCTTTATATATTGGGCCATAAGAGAGTACTAAACAAATAAAAACCTGGACAAAAATTTTCCACACAAAGCTCATTCAACAGGTCATTAGGTAGTAAACAGGTCGCAACACGACCTGACACCAAATTGGGACCACAACAGCACGATGGTATTTCTCTTTCTACAAGTCACGTCAAGACTCGAGAGTCGACTCGATGGGAACAGGACTTCAACCACCAAACCAAGTCCCTCCTTGGATCCCATGTATTCCTGAGTACTACTCCCAACTCAGGTCTTCAAGTCTTTGATATTCTGTTCGAGGTATACAGTATACGTAACTTTCACTGTTGACTGTTTGACTTTTGCCATGTGGGCCATTGTTGATGATGTGGAGTTGCCCATTGATGGTTTGACCAAGCTATGTGGGCCATTGTTGAAGATGTGGCGTTGCCCTTTGACCATTTGACCAAGCTATGTGGGCCATTGTTGATGATTTGGCATTGCCATGTGAACTACGATATATTTGACACTTACATTTAGTCCCCCTGCGCGGGTAAGCTTCATAGAAGGTTAGGCATGCATTAGAAGTTTTCATTGTGATTGTGTCAGCAAAAGAGGACTTTCGAGATTCGTAAGGTTGGGGATCTCATGTTAAGCTCCGATTTGAAAGCATTGTCCCAAAGTCCGGGTGTTTTTACTTAAGATGAGTGTCCTCTGAGGTTTGCGTGACTCGAGAGGATGTCTTAGGGTTGAGTAATGTGGTAGCACTGATCGAGGGTTTTGACTTGAGAGTCGTATTATGCGATGTCTAAGGGACCTAAGAGGAGGTTGTGGGGTTGAGTAATGTGGGAGTAGTGTTTGAGCGTTTTAAGTGACCTGAGAGTGTCTCAGGGTTTTCTGACCGGCGAGAGGTGTTCCAGGGTTTTGAGTGACCTGAGAGACTGTCTCAGGGTTCTGTGACCCTGAGACTGGGAGAGGTGTCCCAGGGTTTTGAGGCATTAAGCTTTTCTTTGGCGTGATAAGGGTGTTAATAAGAAGATGTACCTTCTTAATTGGTCCACGGTTTCCATGCCAAAATGTGAGAGTGGTTTTGGGTTGAGGAAAGCAAGGGAGATCAGTAGATCTGCTCAATGTGTTTTAGCTTGGGATTATGTCCAAGGTAAGGACAGAAACTGGATTAACTGGTGCAAGAGAAGGTATGCCCCCAATACTTCCTATTTGGAAGCCATTCCTGTCCAATTTTCTTCACCTTTATGGGGTACTAGCAATGGATTCAGATTATTGAATGACCATTGGTTACATAGACAATCCTTGGTCTCCAGATTTGGTCACAGAATTGTAAGATATTTTGGCCTTTGGAAAGACTCCCAACAATTGCAGCTATTCTTAATCAGAGGAACTGGGTTAGACAACAAAATCTAACCAATATGGATGCATGGAATTTGATTAATGTTGTTCCCATTTCAAACAGAGAGGATGTCATGTGTTGGGCAAGTGGTAGACGCTCTTTCAAGGCCATTTGGGAGGTCGAGCTAAAATTCCTAGGGTTCCATGGTTTTCTCTTGTTTGGAATAAAGGGAGGCCAAGAACGTCTGTTACCACAGTTTTGGCCATTTTTGACAGATTGCCAAACTTGATTAATCTTCAAAAGAGGGGGATCCATTTGACTGCAATTTGTCATAACTGTATGGGAGATCGTGATTCAGTGAACCACCTTTTCTGGTCTTGCACCTTTGCCTATGAGGTTTGGGCTTGGATTTCTGAGTTTGCAGGCTGGAATATCTCTGAAGTTTCTGCCTTAGATCAATTAATCAACTGGCGTGTCAATTCTTTCACACACAGCTCTAAAAGACTAGTATCTTCAGAATGTTCTTTACTACTGCTCTGTGGGGATTGTGGAGAGCTAGAAATCTGAGGTTACATGATGGTTGTTGCATTCCTGCAGCCGTTGCTGCCAAAATGGCTGTTTGTGAGGTCTTGCATCTTGCTGCAGTTTTTTAGTTGATTGGAATGTCTTGTAGTTGGTTGCTTGTATTCAGCCTTTTAGTTTTTCTGTTTTCTTCTTAGGGGAAATGGACCTATTTCATTTCCATTGCTATATACATTGGGGGTATGCCTCCACTTTAACCCTGTACTTTATTGTTTTACCCTTTTAATACAGAGCCATATGGGAAAAAAATTACTCAGTATCAGAAGTATATCTAGGAAATTATTTTTTTCGCATGGAAAAATTTAACTATAATAACCACATGCAGAAATTTTTTTACATAGAACAAGGTCATGTGCATGCTCATCATGTAAATGTATATAATTAAAATTCCACATATAAGAATTACAAGGTACACTATCAAATAATATCTAATTTAATACTTTACTAGTATCATCTAGGCTAATTAAAAAAATTTCTCACATTTTGAATGTTTACTATATCTCGTGAGCTAACACCTGCTTGGAGTCCATCAAGTAAGCCTTGCACATAGTCATAGAAGTAATCAGGATCATCACATACCGCGAATGCATGAACCTAAAATCAACACTACTCATCAGTGAAGTTTATTGTCACATCAATGAGAACAAAAGAGGATCTATAGAAAGAAGAGACATACTTTCGCATTTAATTTACTCAGCCATGATCCCAGCGACAAACCAGCAACGCTACCCCCACTAGAAAACATGTTAACAAGAAACATCAAAATAATTATCATTTCCTTTGATGTAGAAGTATTGCATACTGTTACCCGAACACATTGGAAGAGAAGAAATACAGGAGAAATATGTAAAGGCTTGAATAAGAATGATCACCCATTCATAGTTTTGGTATTTATATATTAAAAGAGCACATGTTCAATATTACAGGAAATGAAAAAAAAAAATACCGCAGATTCTATGCCTAAATATATGTGTAAATAGAGTCAAATCCCATGATTCTTGGCTAACATGGCAAATCCCATGATTCTAGGCTAACATATCTTGGCTAACAGTAAGATATATAAATATTTTGATATAAAGTATTTTCTGAGGCTGGGAAAACTATACCAATTATTTTGGCACTACGGTAAACAGAACACAGTTTCTTCTTTCAATTCAGTCCACTGCCAAGATAATAGATCACAGATAAGTGTCTAAAATGCTCCAAGTTCAAAATAAACTGGACCGAATTACAGATATAGACAACCAAAACATGTCCAGAACACACGTGTGAGACTGTCCAACATGGCCAAAATAATCTAAGGTAGGAGTCTCTATGCTTTATCATCTACCAAAGCTATCACTACATACATAGGTCAAATACAAAAGGCAGACCAACCATGAGCTGGTTGCAGGTATAGATTTCAGACAGAAGTTTCAATAAAAAGGATAAAGGTCAAAAACTTCTGCCTGCAACAGTTCTTCCAACAGTCTGCACAGGATTATCATTGGTTTTAAGAAAACGTTTAAGATAAGAGTTGAAAAAAAAAAGTTTGAAACAGATAGACCAACATCTGCACGGACAACTTGCTTTTCATTGTCAAGAACCAGAGGAGTGGATGCCATGTAAAATATAGGAAAGTTTCTAGACAATTAGGAGTTCAAACACTAGACAGAGTATGTGAGAAACAGTTTCCAGTTGGTCGCACGCACTTTGAAGGATTATAATAATATATTTTTTCCAGATTGGACCTGTTTGTTATTAAACCTAATTTTGAAAAACTTTGAAAGGAGTCAAATGCTGGATAATTTTTCATATAAAAATCAAGAATACAATTTTCTTGTTATTTGACGGATTCCTTATCATAAAAAGAGAAAAATATAAAATTATTTAACAAACATCTCATTTAGTGCACAATTTGCACTAAGCTATCAATAAGGATGCCAAGATTAAAGAAATGAATGAGTAACCTTGTAAAGCTTATCTCCATTTTTCAGTAACATCAATTGTGGTGCACTAAGCTATCAATAAGGATGCCAAGATTAAAGAAATGAATGAGTAACCTTGTAAAGCTTATCTCCATTTTTCAGTAACGTCCATTGTTTACATGATACTAAGATTCATCCTGTGCTAATGTCCTCAACTATGAACACAAAAATATTACATTGAAAAAATCAGCAGCAAGTTGGTTTTCCAAAACAACCAAACAGTTTAGCACTACAGCATCTGCAACCTTTTTCTTTCTTCCTCTTTTTTTAGTTCTTTAGGGTAAAATCATTGAAACACGACCAAATTTTCGGAAGCAATGCACCTATAATTAGATAGACACTAAACTCAACAAAGCCTTTTGCTAATTAAGGGCAGGCTACTCATTATTTGTTCTGAAATATTATTGATAACAAGTTTTCATGCAAGGTTGAGATTGTATATTTCCACAATTAAATCTCCCATTTATATTACAGTCGTGACTACTTACTGCTGCTAAAGAAATTCGAGGTTAAACTAATACATTAAACTTACTGTTAGGTCAATAGGACTGATGTTGGCAAATTGCATGAATCAAAACTAGAATCTATAACTTTGTTTTATTTTTAACTAGTTTATATTTTTAAAAAGTTAAGTGTCATTGTAGTTACCTCTTGGTCATGGTCTAATATGGAAATTTAAGCTTTATTCATATTCATAAGCATTCATTCAATTAGGGTTTTTCAAATTTACATGTTTTATGCATTCAAATATACACGTCCATTGGCCTTCAATTGACTGATCAATCAAATGTGTTTTGGCTGATATAGAATAAAATTTTTTGGGTGATGCTGCATAAATATCATTCATTTATGCGCATATTTAATCAAAAACAGTAGGATGACTAATTCTTTAATTTAGATGTTCTTAAAAGAAATTGCTTAGCTTTATATTGAATGATGTTGTGATGTTGTGGCCCGAATTTGGTTTTGGGTCGCTACCTGATGACCCGTTGATTGAGCTTTGTGTGGGTCCAAGCCTATGACGCAACGACCCATTGATTGAGCTTCCGGGTGATGTTTTTGACCCTTTTTTGCTTGCAGGTCATCAAGCCAATTCAGTATTCTCTTGTAGCCCAATCTATAAGGGCATTTAGGGTTTGGAGTGGGAGATTGAGAGACACTAAAAATCGTACAAGAGAGAGAGAGAGAGAGAGAGAGAGAGAGCGAGAGCGAGAGCTAGTGTTTGGGGGCTGAAACTTGTAATCTCCTAATTTTTGCATAGTGAACCTTTCGCCAGATCTTCACCGTGGATGTAGGCTTTGCCAAACCACGTAAATCTTTTTGCATTTTTTGTGTGGTATGTTTATTTTTCTGTCATGTTTCATGATTTATTCTTGGGTTTGCTGCGTTTGTCGTAATAGATGTATTAATACTTTGATAGTTAAATGAAATTGATAACATCAGCTATAAACCATACATGGGCTGTGATATTTGAGACTTTTCGTGTTCAACATAAAATAAAAAATGTCTATATTTTTACATTAATTATAGTTCTTACTGTTCGGGCAGCGAAAGTGTGCGAACATCGAAATCCAATGAAAGACAGCAAATCAATCACACACAAACACAAGATATAACATGGTTTGGCCAAAACAACCTACATCCAGAGATGAGAAGATATCCCATTATGATTCTGTCGAGATATCACAGCAATAAAGTACCAACAATGCTTACATGCATTTTCACTATGAACCACTCCATGAGCATGTTTCCTCCCAAGTAGTGCCAATAGTGCTTTTCTACTCTAACCCATCAACTCCCTTGTGAGACTACATCTCTCTCAATCTCATAAGTCTCAACTCATAATGTGGATACCTATTTATAGAGTTCGAAACCCAATTCCATGTTGGACAAGGATTACAATTCCTTGGAGCCCAAGACTTGTCTAGCAAGAAATTAATAAATAAAATATGACTCTAAAATAGAAACCTAATTAAACTAGGAATTTGATACATTAGTCCTAACAATGTCCTCCTTGGCTCAAATTCCATCCCACCAATCATCTCTTCCCACGGAATTGATCAGGACAATTCATTGAAATTTCAATCTTGCACACAAACCAAATCACTCTTTAGGGACTTTCACCAATAGACCGTTGCTATGACCATGTCTTATTTAGTGAATTTTGCTTAAGGAGTCGGTTCCTCCTCAGCCTCATTTAAGGACTTTCACCCAAGGAGCTAGTTCCTCTTCCTTTGGATTGCATGCCAAGATGTCACGATCCACCTGCAAAATTGTGATTGTCTACACTGTACGCAGCTCGATCAGTCAAATCTCCAAGGCTCCACTTTAACTACTGGAGCTCCATGCCATGTAAGCATCACAATTTTTTTTACCATCGTGACCAACTAAGCCGATTGACTCCACTTGCAACTGAACCCCGTTGATGACTCGTTGAGAATCCTTGTGTTTTGTGGATCTCCTTCACCCACGGCTCTGATACCAATTTGTTGGGGCAACTCAAACGTGCAACCATCGAGATCCAATGAAAAACGATAAATTAATTACACACAAGCACAAGATATAACGTGGTTTGGTCAAAACCAGCCTACATTCTCAGATGAGAAAAGATTCAACTATGATTGTAGAGACCTGGACTTCTTTTTTATTTTTATTTGTTTTTATTTATTTTTATTTTTTATGAGTTTGGTTATGATTTGGTCGTGAGAACCTTCACTTAAGAGTGTGTGGTTATGTTTCTTCTTTTTCGGGTGCACATTTCATTCGGGTGTGTGGACCCGGGGCGGGTTTTGGACTCGAGGTTAGTTGGGGGATACATATGAGAAGAATGAAATGAGGGAGTGCCAAAAAGGTACTTTCCCTAAAGTAGGTAGGAGGAAGGAGCAATTAAGCAAAGATGTGGGCTAAGTTTGTAATTTGAGAAAGTGGATGGCTATAAATAGAAGAAGGTGAGAACATGGGGAAATGCTCTCTTGAACCAAGACATATTTAATTGGGTGCTCTATTTTAATTTCTACCCCTTGGCTACATTTTGTTAAATTTGTGCAGTTTACTATATATTTGGGTTGGGTTTATGGATATATGTATTGGGATAAAAATGAATGCTTTTATGGATTTATTTTAGGGATTCGATGTGAATAAAGAATTTACTGTGCTTATAATTACATTTTGAATTATGTATGATCATTTTAGAGGCCTTCGTACATGTTTCATGCTAGTTGTGTGGATTTAGAGTTTGTGAGGGAACAGGAATTGTGAGTTGTGAGGATGCAGGAATTCAAGACTGGTCAAGTTGGACCGGTCCAACATTTCTGGACCAATCCAACAGAGTCTGGTTTGCGAAGGATTTTAAGACTAATCAAGTTGGACCGGTCTAACTTTTATGGATCAGTCCAACTCTGGCAGAATGTTAACCAGAGGTTGTTGTAACCTGTTTTGGTGGAGTTGAACGGATTAGTGCGGAGACCTTTTGTTAAGTTATTTTTTTATGTGTTTGCGTGCTTGGCTAGGGGGCATTGATTAAATTTGGATTTAATTGTCCTCCTTTTATGGCAAGCCGGGTCTTTAAGATACTTATAAGAAAAAGAAAAAAAAAGCCGGGTCTTTGGGATTCAGGGTGTGACAATGATTCTGTATAGATATTACAACATTAAAGTACCAACACCGTCATGCATTTTCACCATGTACCATTCCACAAGCCTGTTCCCTCGCAACCGGTGCCACTCTGTGTTTTTCCTACTCTACCAACCCATAAACTACCTCTACCATCAATTCCCGAACAAGACTACATCTCTCTCAATCTCATAAGTCTCAACTCATAATATAGGTACCTATTTATAGAGTTCCAAAACCAATTCCTAGTTGGACAAGGATTACATTTCTCTGGAGCCCAAGACTTGTCTAACAAGAAATTATTAAATAAAATACAACTCTAAAATAGAAACCTAATTAAACTAGGAATTTGAGATACAAGTCCCAACACTTACAATTGTGACATCACATTTTATTCACAGTTGAGATAATGACTCAATGATATCCTTCACCCACTCTATTTTCCGGTTTGATGAATGGTCTGGTTTTTTAAATACTAATTTTGGCGTTGAAAGATTTTCCCTTTGCTAATAGAACAGCAGAAAAAACACCCAAGGAAGGGGAAATTATGGGTTGAATTCTTACTATTAAATTCAAATATATATATATATACACACATTTATCTTGCTTTAATATAGTCACCTCCATCAATTGTAAAATGATCTATATCAATGTAATGCCTATTGGGCCATCTATCATCTTCAATGCTATAAATATCGTCGCTCAACTACTACGCCTTCACTGTTGATCTCAAGACACCAATCGATCTACTTGACGATTTGTTCCAAGCAAGTATTAGCAAATATTTAATTATTGCTGCCTATGTGCTTGGCCAACATTTCTTCGTCTCTTGGTATTCTTGGGGAGTTTTTGATTCTTACTTTGATGCATTTAGGTGATATCAAATGAAATTTCATACTTCAATTTTATTGACACAAAGTTTATATTCTCAAATATAGAAACTTAAATGTGATTACCGTAATTCAAAAAGGCACTCTCCTTACTATAAATATCGTCACTCAACTGCTACACCTTCGCTGTTGATCTCAAGACACCAATCGCCTACTTGACAATTTGTTCCAAGCAAGTATTAGCCAATATTTAGTTATTGCTGCCTATGTGCTTGGCCAACATCTCTTTGTCTCTTGGTATTCTTGGGGAGTTTTTGATTCTTACTTTGATGCATTTAGGTGAAATCAAATGAAATTTCATACTTCAATTTTACTGTTACAAAGTTTATATTCTCAAATATAGAAACTTAAATGTGATTACTGTAACTCAAAAAGGCACTCTCCTTACCATCTGATCCTAGTTTTTTCTCAGTATCTAGTATGTTTACCTTCTGGATTCTAACACAATTGAGCTTAACATATTCAAACAATTTATTGTTTCAAGAAAACAAAATTAATTTACAGTTATGCAGGACTTGATTTCAGTAGCAACCACCATAAGGTGCCCAGCTAAAAGTAAAAAGCAAATAGTTTGCTTTTACTTCATTAGGTGTTCCAATCATAAAACAGCTGATACTGAAAGAGTGTATTTTGTATTACCTATTTTGTTAATATTGGTTATAGAAACAGAGGATGGAGGTAACTGTTAATTGGTAGTTCCAAATTCCTTATTCCTTAAAAATGTTTTTCAGAGAAAAGCTAATGAGATGAGATGGTCTGCCTAATTTCAGCTTCTTTGATATTAAAAACTTCAAATTGTTTAGAAAAGGTACATATAATAAAAAGGTTGAAAAGTGATTATATCACACTAATTCTTGGCTCAACGATTCCCATATTGTTAAACATCTAGTTGCAGGTCAATGCCAAATACGGTTAAATATGCCTCTTGTTACGACAAAAACAGCAAACCAAGAACAAATCATGACAAAATAAAAAGCACGCGGCACGCCACACACAAAGAACACAAAGATTAACATTGCTCGGCTTAAGACTAAGTCTACGTCAATGGTGAAGATCCGACGAAAATCAGGAGATTACAAGTTTCAGTCCCCAAACCCTAGCTCTCGCTCTCGCTCTCGCTCTTGCTCTCTCATTCCTGTGATTTTCAGTGTTCTCCCATTGTCCCACTACAAACCCAAAGTGCCCTTATATGCCGGGCTACAAGAGAGTACTAAACAGTGTCCATGACCCGCAAGAGAAAAATGAGTCAACAAAATTTCTCAGGACGCTACCCTCGGGCCCCCAGATCTTTGGTGAGCTTGGGCCCACATAATGCTAACTTTTGGGGTCAAAACCCAGTCACAACGCAACCCGGGCTGGAACAAAATTTGGCCCACAACATAACACCTCTTATCACCCAAGAACATAGAATATTGTGAGATTACTTTGTTTACTTAACACAAGCAGGCACTTCTTAGATCGTAGTCAAAACAGATAAAATCCTAAAGAAAAAAACCTGCTGTAGATTTGAACTTTTATAGATAAGAGTAAAACCTTCCACATGCAACAATGATGTCATCAAAACCTACTTTGCCAGTCCCTGTCTGAAGCTGCTGCTCAATCTCTCTAATTGCTTCTATATAGCCCCTGAAACAGAATGGAAATCTAATATAAATGCCATGATGTAGAAATGGTGAAGCAATCAAAATAGGGTTGTTAGCTTTCTTTTCTATTTTCCCCTTTCCTGTTTCACTTATTCTTAATTACTGATGCACTCATACTTTGGAGCATAGAATACCAAAGGAAAATCTCAGAAAACCACTATCGTTAAGCTCCCCTTATCTTCTTCAGACTATAATATACAGATAGAAAGTACGAGAAGACAATTCACAAATAATTATCAAGATATTAGGTTATTTGTGCAGCTATATGCAGTAAGGCTTAGGTTTCTTCAGCTAAGAAAATTAAATTTACTCCAGCAGATTGACATCTTCAATCTGAGTGGTCTCCCTGCAACTATATTTCAGTAAAAGCTCTAATAACCAGGTTCTTCTTCCACTGGTGCTGCTTTTCATACTCTGATATCTTGAATGAATTTGTTTCTGCTGCTGCTTTGCTTTTCACTGCTGCTAAGTTGATTCAAATGACATCAATTTATCCCATATCGGTGAAAGATAGTTTTTTCTTGTATTCTTATATAGTTGATTCAGCATTTAGAGGCAGCTTGGGCATGAAGTTGGACTGTGACACTTCTTCCAGGCCTCAGCTATTGGGCTAGGCTACCCTTTGGTTTGGAACCCCGAAAGTTGTCACAAGTCATGTGTATCCTTTTTGTGGTCCTTTTCGTAAAGCCTATTGGTTCATACTCTTGAGTTTCCTGTTTTAGCTTCTTCTGGCAGTTGCTCTTCAGCTGGCTTTGTTTGGCTTAGCACTCCTTCTTTGTAGTTTTTGACTTTAGACTTTTGAAAGTCAGTTGTTCTATTGTTTCACTATTACAGGATTGATTCTTTTAGAGATATTCAACTTACCAAAAGAAATACTGCACAAACAAGAAAAACATCCAGGAAAGACTATATGGAACAACAAAATATCAGAAGCCCAATTTTACCAGGTTCCAAGGGAATTTGATCCGCCAACAGGAATGACATATGGCCTTCTTCCTTCATTCAACAACTTTTCTTTCAGTAGATTAGTAAGAGTCTGACATCAAATTGACAAAGAAAAAGTCACATCCACAATAAAAAATGATCAGTTTAGTCATAGAATTTAAAAAATTAAATTAAAATCCTTGTAGTAAACAAATGGGACTAATCAATAAACTAAAGGTGCCTCCTCCAGTAGTGACCAACACCCTATTAAAATTAGACAAAGCTATGAGATATAATTATTTCATAAATCTAAAATGTACGTATGTATATATATATATATATATATATATTAATGTGTATATATTTTAAGCTTGGTCCCTGCAATGTTGGTTACATATTATATACACATACGTAGTGTGCATTTCAGGCTGGATTAATTAGATTTAAATGGTCAATTTCATGATACAAATATTGGGCACCTCAGTTTGAATGTTGCCACTTGGAAGTTCTTATGTAATTGTTGTCAAGTACCTAAATTCTGTAAATTAAACAAACTTTTGAAGGAAATTATATATTAGAAAAACTAATTAAAAGAGGGTTGTAACGCAAAAAACTTGGAATATTATAAACTAAATGAATTGGTGTGGGCTGTCCTTGATTTAGAAAGCATTGGATCAGATTATTGGGGTGCATCTATATGGAAAGAAAGTACCACCAACTCATTTTAATTTTTCCTTTACCAGCAAATAATTCCCACAATGCTCCTGGGGAGACTTCAACTCTCCATCATCTGCTTTGAAAGGAGAGCAGATACCACTGCCACATGCCTTGGTGAAAGATCACCAACATGCAAATATATATAGGATACATATGTATTTTATCAATTTATAAGAATTAATTTGGAAGTAATATCTGTAAGGAATATATTTTGAAAGAAGATATTTTATGAATGGAAAGAAAGAATAAGCTGCTCTGGAAATAAAATCATTTTGTAAGGTAAACATTTTAAATTAAGAGAAAGTTATAAAAGATTAATAAGATTTATGTTGAAGGATTTATATATTTAAGATTAATAAGATTTATGTTAACCCTCTCTAACAGCTTAAGCTTTTGGAGTAGATGGTAGTTAACATGGTATCAGAGCCAAAGGTCTCGAGTTCAAACCTTACCGTCACCCTAATTAAAAAATTGAAAAACACATGTTGGACCAAAAGAATGCCACACGTGAGGGGGCGTGTTGAAGGATTTATATATTTAAGTTACACCCTCTCTAACAGCTTAAGCTTTTGGAGTAGATGATTATGGTTGCATACAATAGCCTTACATGGTGAATAAATAAGGAAGTTGGTGTCTTCCCAATTGAAAAAGGAAATTGATGACTGTAGCTTTAAGATTGAAATCTTAAACTATCAAAATATATAGTGGTCTTTTCTGGTGATCTAAACAAGAAGGAAACTTCCATTACAAAACAGTGTCTGTGTGTGCACGGGTGTATATATATATAATACACATCTATTTGCTACATGTCATGCTGCAAAAGTGAACTATGGGCTTTCTTGAAGATTCCATGTGGCTCAATGAAAATGCCATGTAGATGGCCATCTCAGTAATATGTGGAGGGGGGGTCAGATAACCACAAAAGTCAATCTGATTTTTGTGTGATTATTGCTGAGGAATCATATACAAATTATTTCTTCCCACTCCTTACACTGAAAGGTGTGAAAGGATTTGTCACCCATGATAACATCCCCAATACCACAGGAGTTCCCTTGTTGCTTAATTTGAAATGATGATCATCTTGGCCTTGATTTTTGAACGTCAAGTGAAATAATCCTACTATAATAGGAGGGTAATGTGACACTTGATCATCCTGGATAAAATTTCAAACAAAGTGTTGGACAAAAAAACTCTCACTATTGCTATTCAAACTAATTACAAAACTTGTAACTGCTCCATACATAATCTCTGTACCCATATACATAAACTAAACCTAATCCACGTAGAAACTTAAATCTATAAAGCTAGTACAATTAAAATATTACTAGCCTGGAATATTTTTCTTTGGTAACAAATTCCTAAAATTATCTAAAGCACCATCTAGAGTCAAGTGCCGAAAGCACCCCTAATGTATACTCCGCGTAGCACTTTCACCCCTATTTGAAAAAGTGTGCTAATAACCCCCTTATCCTTTTAACATTGGGCAGAAACACCCGTCAAACAGAAATTTGACATAAAGTAATGCGGTAATGCCCGTTTTGCTCTTTTACTCTTCCGAAAATGCCCAAGGGTAAAGTGCCAATGTCCTTATTCGCCACACTGTAACCAACTTATTTCCATGTTTTTGCACTTTGATCCTTGAACAACCTTTGGTCACTGTAGATTAAGCTCCCGATGAGCCTTAACTGCCGCATAATACTTTTCTTATGTGACATACAGCAATATGCTGTGGATTGTCTCCATAATGTAGTTCTGGGATCACACGACAATCTCATCACATCTCTTTCAAGGAATATGCTGTTGAAAGGTGATATAATTCATGTCTAACCCATCATATATTTTTCCATTTAACAAAGATTATGAAACCTGGAAACAAGATCTGCAAATGATCAGATGATGGTGAAACCTCTTGCATCTTCTTCCAACTGTGTATTTAAATTTCTGTTTCTTTTAAGCACTCTGATTGTACTTTGCCCTCCACCCCACCCCCCAGGGTGTCGCCACATACCCAAAAAAAATTCCAAAACCATGTTCACCTTTCTCAAATCATGATTACTTTCAACTCAAAATTTCCGAAGACCTGTGTAACCAATCAAAAGATTATACATCTATCCAAATTTGACATGCAGCTCAAGGGGACTCAAGAGCGAATGCTGAAACCAGTCAAATACATTTTTAAACCAGTTTGTTCTGCTGTAACTATTTAGGTTCAAGAGAGGGGACATACCCGCCTATTTGAAGTGGCTCATATCACACTTGAAATGCATTTTCTGTTCATCCGTCACTAAATCTAAGGATCAAATAATTAAAACTACTAGTCCAGCATCGCCTCCAATTCAAAAAGGTTCTCATAACAATCTTTACCACATTTACATGGCCGTACTACCTTCTAATAAAATCCATCATTCCCTAAAACTAAATCGATGTACACAAAGCGATATTAGAATTTTCATTTTACCTCAATAAATCACACAATTAACCAAAGGTTTCCCTTTAATACCATACTAATTTTTATATATATTACATATTATTTAAGGTAAAATGGGTCAAGAGTCGAATTGGATTAACTTGACAAGATTAATTAACGAGTCAAATCGTGTCGAACATGTGAGCCCCAAATCTGAACACGACACAATTAATTAAACAGATTAATCAGCTAGACTTGATTATGATATGAACACGATTAAAGTTAACCCAAACCCACTAATTTCATGTTGGTCTCGACTCTTGAGTCGCATCGACGGGACAAATTTTGACACCCCTAATCATCAATAATGGAAGTATCCTTCATCTTGTAGGACACTTATAAACATTCGTGGGACTTCCAACTTCCATGTCCCAATTAACAATTTTGAGCTAACCATCCTAGTCCTTGTTGATTCTTGACTAAGCAATGAAGAACTTACATTCTTTACTTCACCATCATCCACACAATCATGTACTTTGGCAGGTTCTAAATTAATTATTTTTTACCAGGCATATACTTTTAAGGTTTAGGATTCTTAATAACTCCATCAATATTTGATGCATAGTCCATTTGACCCACCAATCAACTTTCATCACCAATATATTTTAATACACCAACACGGGTAGGATTTTTCTTTTTACCTTCGAAATATTCTTTTTCAAACTGTTATGTCTAAAGATCTAGAGGTATGTAATTGCCCTCTAAAATATTTGTATAGGTATCTGCTTGTGTTCTTATTCACACGAAATATATATGAAATTTTAAGGGGCCATTACTTGATGCAACAGTAGGGCAGTCAATTGGTTAACCGCAAGTTCGAGTATGAGGACAAACACTTCATGTGAAGGAAGCCAAAGGTTAGAAGTATACATCATGGCCCCCTCCAAAACCTTGGACTAACAACGTTAACCAACAAAGGCCCCTTTATGGAGTATTAGATAACATCAAACCTCTTTCTCCTACTCATAAGAACAGTCACTACTTTCATTAGTATTCCAAAAGACTGTCAAATGTATTACTTAAGCTAAGAATAATCTCTCTTTCAACCCCAAACATGAGAAGTTAATTATAATAACCACAAGAGACAAAGCACGTTAGTAAGCTATTCGTGGAAGTATTTGATAATATTATTGTCATATTTACCTGAAGCACTACATTTCATCATAAGATCTTTTCCCCATACATATTGAATATACCCAACTAACCATGGACCAACGGACGCTATTCTTTCTTTAGTTGTTTCCAAGCACACACATTGTGGCATGTTCAAAACCAAAAACAAACCATAATATTATTTACAAAGAGAAAGAAATATCAAATCACAATGAACAAACCAGACTCCCAAGTTTTGAATATTCTTCTTTTGAAACCAGTTCAATATGTGCTCCAACTAAACGCTCAACCAGGAGGTTGCCTGTCAATCCAGGTTCTTTGTCCACAAAAATCTACAAAAGATGAAGGGAGGAAAAATAAATAAATAAATAAATAACTACTTCCAACAAGACATACGAGTCTATCAAAAAGATCAGAGATGAAGAAATAACCTTCGAGGTGCGTAAAATAAGATAACAGTCAAGATTCAAATATTTGGCGGCTACAGCAGTTGCGCGGCAGTGATTGCTTTGGATGCCTCCTATTGTTATAATACAGTCTGCCCCTTGTCCCACAGCATCTGCCAACAAGAATTCAAGCTTTCTGACCTTGTTACCACTCAACTGCATCCCCGAAAGGTCATCACGCTATATAATTTCAGATCTTTATGTCAGTATCAACCAGGAAGGCAAAAAAAAAAAAAAAGAAATCTTCAGAACTCAGGAATTACACAAAGGCAGATACGAAAAGCATATCACAACATATAGAGCACTGTATCACCTGAAATCCACCATTGGATTGCCTCAACTAGAATAGGGGCAAAATTGGATCACTGGCTAGAGTCAATTCGCAAAATTGGAGCGATTACAAATCCTTTATCATAAAAATGGCTAATGCCCCCAGGTCTTGAAACATAATTTTTCTCCTAAGAGTGTTGGAATGGGAGGATATGGAAAAATTAAGATGAAATACAGCTAAAGCGAAATAATTTTGTCCTCTCCATCGAAGTCAGAAGAACTACACAATAAATGCCATGATATATATCGAAGAAAATATGCAGAATCACCTATCATCAGAACAGAAGAATTCTATTGTGAAAATTGTCGAGCCTCAATCTTTACCGAAATGGATTTCAGCAAGGTATTAAATTGCGGATGTAACCACAGACGCAGATGCGGTCAAGTGAATCGAGTGTTACGTAACAATACCAAAAACTTTGGTCATGAATTTTTAACAATTCGCACTGTAGCCTAACTAAGAAGATACAGAACTTTCAACTCAAGGTTCTAATATATATATATATATATATATATATATATATATATATATATATTTTTTTTTTTTTTTTGTGGATTTTTCTTATTGTTCAACTCAATTTGTAATTTTCAATTAATTTATGACTATGGCATATGAATATGGGAAATGGTCTGAGGAGACAGTAATGGTTGATTATGGTCTGAGGAGACATGTTTGATTGCTTATTGTGACACCCTGAATCCCAAAGACCCGGTTTACAATGAAAAGAAAAGATAAAAGAAGAAAAGAAAAGACGAAGAAAATCCGATCCGAACCTAATCAACAACATCCTTATATGCAAGCATGTTGGAGAATATCATAGGACTGATTTAGCCTATGATAAAATATTGATTGGAGTATGTTGCAGGATTTATATATTTAAGTTACACCCTCTCTAACAGCTTAAGCTTTTAGAATACATGGTTGTTAACATGGTATCAGAGCCAAAGGTCTCAAGTTCAAACCTCTCCGTCACCCTAATTAAAAATTGAAAAAACACGTGTTGGACCAAAAAAAGGCCACACGTGAGGGGTTGTGTTGAAGGATTTATATATTTAAGTTACACCCTCTCTAACAGCTTAGGCTTTTAGAATAGATGATTGTTAACAAAGTGATTTATGGGATTGATTTTAGGAATCCTCCATCATCGCATTTTCCATAATTATCACTTGTATTTTTTTCACCTATAAATAGAGGTGCTGATTGTAAACAATATTAAGAGAGATATAATAAAGGTGATGTAGCCCTTTGGGTTTTGTGTGTCTATGCTTGTGATGTCCATGTTTAATTTCTCTCTTCAACTTTTATATCTTCCGACATGGTATCAGAGCAGGTTTATCATACCCTACTCTATACTCTACTCATCTTGGATCTTCGGATCAATTTGTCTCGGATCTTCGGATCAACTCATCTCGGATCTCTGGATCAACTCGTCTCAGATCTTCGGATCATCTCATCTTGGACTCTCTCACAACTTCGTATTAAGGTTCAAGTTAGACACTTGAGTTGAAATCTCTGTGTACCAACTTGAGGGGGGAAGTTGGAGAATATCATAGGAGTGATTTAGCCTATGATAGAATATTAATTGGAGTGATTTATGGGATTGATTTTAAGAATCCTCCATCAACATATTTTCTATATTTATCACTTGTATTTTTTCACCTATAAATAGAGGTGCTGATTGTAAACAATATTAAGTAAGAGAGCTATAATAAAGGTGATGTAGCCCTTTGGGCTTTGTGTGTCTATGCTTGTGTTCTTCATGCTTAATTTCTCTCTTCAATTTTTATATCTTTCAACAAAGTAAAAGTGCCTAAACAATGTCATCACACATGGGTCAACATAACCCCAAACCTCATCCCTACAACGCAACATTAACCAACTATAAATCCCTCACATGAGCACCTACAAACCTTACTCAAAAGAACCGAGCATTGTCCCGACCTTTAGCCCTCAAAACAGCCCCTAAGCATAAAATAAAAAATATACTTATCAAAAAAAAAAAAAAAGCATAAAAAAAATAATAATAATAATAATAAAAATATCTCCCACCAAGCTTGGACAGGTCCAAGAATCATTGGACCAGTCCAAGTGGACCAGTCCCGCAGTCAGGGTAAAAAGAAAAGGAGTTGGATTGGACCGGTCGAAGTAAGGCTGGACTGTTCCAACAGAACTGGACCGGCCCCGATACTTAGAAAACTTTTTGTTTCCAGCATTTTGAGCCCCAAGCCCTAGGTCCATGCCCCAACTCCCTTGAAACACATGCAAAGCCTCCAAAAATAACATACATGATCCATAGATGGTTGAAAACAAATATAAACATGGAAAATCATCCATTTACAGTTAAATCCCAACGTGATCACATATGAGCACACCATTATGGTTCCGTTATACATATGTCCTTACATTTGAATCAAAAGAGAGCAAGGAGAATAAGTTTTACAAAATAGGGGCCAAGGGTAGAGATCACTAGAGAACACTTTAATTAACATATATTGGCTCTCAACTCATTTCCCCCTCCCCAGAATGAGGTTTCAAAAATAAAACGAGTATCCAATTACAACACGAGATTCAAAATGTCAAAAACAAAATCCACGTCCGTAAAGAGTCTAGGCACCACCCATGGCGTGCTCCTTATCTGCAAAATGTTGGGGTGAGCAAAAGTGCCCAGTAGATGATATGGTAACTAATGCGACCAATGATAATATAAGTCATATGAGCAAGGCATATTCAAACAAACATAATGAGTCATACGGATCATACACCTTACTTACTAGTTCGAATGATATAGTCACAATACTATGTCTATTAGTAAACTTACTAAAACTCATCATTGCTCTGTTACATTTTATCCCACATGTTGTGTCTTTCAACATCTTACGACGAAGAAGAAAATTGGTATAGGACATGAAATAGATGGCTTGTATTACCTTGATTTTGAGCATCATTCCACTGCTCTTCAATCCTTTTTGTCTCCTTTCCAGTGGCATTGTCGTCCTGGCCACCCATCACTCTTTGTTTTGCAGCGTCAAGTCCCAAGTCTTAGTCGTGTTTTGTATCTTGTGAAGCTTGTCAGCTTAGTAAGCATTGTCGTGTATCTTTCAAACCTAAAGTTAATAATCGTGAAGCTAGTCCTTTTCAGTTAGTTCATTCAGATGTATGGGGACCAACCAGGCATACTTCTTTTAGTGGATTTCGTTATTTTGTGACCTTTGTGGAAGATCATTCTCGTACGACTTGGTTGTTTTTAATGAAAAATCGCTCTGAGTTATTCTCTATTTTTCAAATATTTCGTAAAGAAAAAAAACTCAGTTTAGGTGTTTCATTAAAATTTTACATTCTGACAATGCCAAAGAATATTTCTTAGACTCTTTTGACACTTATTTTCGTGCTAAAGGCATCATTCATCAGTCATCATGTACTTATACTCCTCAACAAAATGGTGTTGCTGAACGTAAAAATCGTCATCTCTTAGAAGTAACTTGTGCCCTCTTATTCCATATGCATGTTCCCAAACGGTTTTGGAGTTGTGCTGTTCTTACTGCTTGTCATCTTATTAATCGTATGCCATCGCCTGTGTTACAAGGGAAATCTACCCATTCAATCCTGTTTCCTGATTCCGCACCGTTTACTCTTACTCCTCGAGTCTTTGGATGTATTTGTTATGTCCATAACCTTGGACCTGGTCGTGACAAACTTGACCCCCGTGCTACTAAATGTGTGTTTCTTGGGTATTCTCGCACTCAGAAGGGTTATCGTTGTTACAATCCCCCTCTCCAAAAATACTTTATTAGTGCGGATGTCTCTTTTTCCAAGTCGGTCCCATATTTTTCTGATTACAGTCTTCCTCTCAATATTACTCCTGAGCCATCTTTGCCACCTCTTCCCTCTGTATCTCCCATTCTATCTCCCACTCCCATTACTCATGATCCTCCCCGATCTATTACCCTGTTGCAGGTTTATACTCAGCAACCCAAGTTGCTTACTTTGGTTCCTCCATCTTCTTCGGAGTCTTTGGACCCGACACCGTCTATTATGTCTGATTCTTTACCTATTGCTCTACGTAAAGGTTCTCGGTCTTGTGTTACTGCACATCCTATTTCTAACTTTGTCTCATATGGTAATGTATCACCCTCTTTATCCTGTTTGTTATCCAAATTGTCTGCTACCTTTGCTCCCAAGACTTTACAGGATGCTCTTTCTAATTCAGATTAGTGCAAAGCTATGGTAGATGAAATGGATGCCCTTCATCGTACTGAGACATGGGATCTTGTTCCCTTACCTCTTGGTTCCAAGCCAATTGGTTATAAGTGGGTTTATACTGTCAAATACCTTTATGATGGATCTATTGAGCAGTTAAAGGCTCGTCTTGTTGCAAAGGGGTATACCCAGACCTATGGTGTTGATTATGATGAGACCTTCTCTCCTGTTGCGAAGATTTCTTCTATCCGAGTCCTTATTTCCATTGCTGCCAATTGTAACTGGCCATTGTTCCAATTAGATGTGAAAAATGCCTTCTTACATGGTGACTTAACTGAAGAAGTTTACATGGAGCAACCACCTGGGTTTGTTGCTCAGGGGGAGTATCGCCATACTGTTTGTTGCCTTAGGAAGGCCCTGTATGGATTGAAACAATCTCTAAGGGCTTGGTTTGGAAAATTCTATGAGGCAGCATTAGCATTTGGTCTTAACAGATGTCAGACAAATCATTCGGTATTTTACCACAACACTAAAGCTGGTTTCATTTTTCTTGTGGTGTATGTAGATGATATTGTGATCACAGGTGATGAATCTGAAGGCATTTCTAAGTTGAAATTGTTTCTACAAAATCGGTTTCACACTAAAGACTTGG